AAGCATGTTGTCAGTACCGTAAAAATACAAACATCCATTGCACAATTATCTCACAGCCTTGCATTTGTGAGATTATCCGAGATTGCAAGAAATATGGATTGCAATTAATAGACCTTTTCTGCTTGAGCCGGCTTAGTTTTTTGTCGGTCCTAGCTCAGCTACTGTTCAGGGGGCATCAGGTTTATGTTAGGCTTAGTTGACAAGCAGTGATTTACTTTTAGATTTACAACATATACGTGGAGACAAGCCTACTAGTAGATTAAAGGACTTTTCTTATATCACAACCTGTGATTTACTTTTAGATTTACAAAATAAATAAATAATAAACCTACCATTTCAAAAATTAATGGTAAAAGATTGTCTAACCTTTACAAAAGGTTTTTCCTAGATTAAACCCTAATGTATTTATATGCTTAAAAGAAAAGTGTCTAAAACGGATAACCCTACTCATAAATCTAAGCCTTGACATAAAGGGCTGTGTTACTTCCTCATTTCCCTGTAGATGGCTCTGTTCCAGTTTAACTGCTTTTTACTCTACATCTTCCCCGTTTCCTTTTTGCTTGTACTTTGGCTTTGAGATAGGTGTTTATTGGTTGGGATGAAGTTTCTCCCGGTATCACTATTACATCAAAAATATTGGTATTCTTCATTCAGGATTGATGGCAAGCCAAAAGATGTCCTAAATTTGGACAAAATAACACCGGTGCGCATGTTTTACATTTTCTATAAGATTGTGGAAATGGGAAAATGATGGAGTATTTAACTATTGTTACGACTATCACACTTTTGGAATCTGGGTGTTTGATCCCATGAATCTGGGTTTCTATCACCATTTTAGTGTTCTTATCTTATCCAGCCAGAATGGGTTTTGATTGATTCTCTTTGGTGCAGAATCTTTTCACCGATGAGAAAGGTGTTGCCACATTTAAGGGTATCCCATTCAAGTCCTCTGCTGCGCCGTGCACATAGTCCATTCCTAAAGCAAGCATCAAATGAAGACAAAAATGATCACTGGATGCCCTACAAAACGATATATAGGTCTCTGTTTGGTGTTCCAGTGGCAGTTCTCGGCAGTCAGTGGTACTTCTTCCTGCTGGAACAGGAAGAGACCTTGTACCATTGCATGTTTTTCTCACTGAATTGTTTGAAAGTGATCTGTATGGAAGGATTTTGTTGCTTCTGCTTTTAATCTGAACCTGTTAATCTAGAAAATTAAGCAAAGAAAAAGGGAAAACAGTTTCTTAACTACTTTGAATCTTGATTGTTCATCTTGTTGTCTCGTTTTTAATCATCGGATGATTGATGGTTCCCGGGTTATGAATGTGTGGTTCTGCAAGGTATGGTATTGTGAGGATTCAAGTTAACTTTGTCAGTAGAAACAATGGTGGTGCTCATTGATTTGAGGAGCATCAACAATGTGGATGAATCTGTGGTGAAAGCATTAGGACTTACCTATTTGGAAGCAGTGTCAGTTAAAGATGGCATTAACTGATGTGGGAAGTATCTACTATTAGAGGGACGTATAACCAGGTTCAACAGAGTTTAAAGATTTTTTGTGCTTTCACTTTAACGGTGTGACGTGGTTCTATAGGTAAAATAGCAGGTGGGTTTAGTACCAAACTTTGCCTCTTCCATTAGATGGGTGTGATGTGATTCCTAAAGGTACAATGGCTGGTGGGTATAGACCTCATAGTGTGGAATTTAGCTCTTTCACTAAATAGTTGTGATGTGGTTCTAAGTGTACAAAGGCTTGTGGGTTTAGACCTCATCAGGTTGAAATTTTACCTCATTCACTAAAAGTGTGATGGGTACAATGGCTAGTGGGTTTGGACCTCATAATGTGGAACTTTACGTTCGTTTGGAAATATTCTTCAAATGAGTTTTTTTCAACGCAAAAGCATTGATTTTTCAATTTTTTAGCTTGAGTTAATAATAACTTTTTTAATGTCAATTTTTAGTTGAAAATAAGTTGTTTGTGAATGTTTTTGCGTTTCAAACACAATTTTGGGTTAAAACAGTTCCATAAGCATTCACAAATGGCCCCTAAATGGGTATGATCTGGTTTCAAGGGTATACTGGTGGGTGAGTTTGGATCTTATAGTGTGTGAAACTTTACATTTTTCACCAAAAAGGTGTGTTATGGTTCTAAATATAAAATAACCGGTGAGTTCGAATCTTATAATAATTTCTTTTATAAATTTTAATTTTACTTAGAGGGAAGAGGAAGTAGAGACTCTAGAGGACAGAAAAAGAGTGATCTTAGTCAGATCCGTTTTTGAGATTTTGGTGACTCTCAGACGAACAAAAAAATTAGGCCCATAATCAGAGATTTAAATTATAGTTTGCATTTGTGTCTTTAGTTGCGTTGCATTTATCGTTATTGCGGACACAACGAATGACATTATAGTCACTGCAAGTATCGTGATTGTGAATTTTTAATAATATATATTATTGTGGATATATTGGTTTCAGACGATATTGTTACACTACTTCATAATAATCATTGTTGTGGTTATAGAATGTTATTTAAGTAATTGTTCTAACAGTGAGTGTTAAAAAAAATAATTTGAAGGACAACTCCATAATAACAAATATTAAAATAATAGATACCTAATAATAAATATTAAAAAATAAATTTTATGAGTATGCTAGTAATAATAAATATTGTAAAACAAATTGGACCTTTAATAAAAAATATTGAAAAAATTGGACCTATAAAAATTGAATTTTAAAAGTATAGTCCTAGTAACAAATATCGAAAATATTGGACCAATGATAATAAGTACTGGGAAAATTGGACCTCTAATAACAAATGTTAGAGAAAAAAAAGTTATTGGCAAAAAATTGGACCGATTAAATGGATTTGTTCTTCTAATAGAATTTTCTTTCTTTCACTAAATGAGTGTGACGTAATTCTAACGGTACAATGAAAGGTTGTGTTGGATCATGGGCATTCTTTCACTAAATGAGTGTGACGTAATTCCAAGAAACTTTATTCAATGGTTTTGGTAGAATATTCATGCCCATATGTGCTGATAAATTAACTGTTGATAGTTGTAAAGACAAAAAAAAAATTATACATAAATGGTCCAGACTATAAGTTACTACATTATTAAGTTCTTCGACTATTAGAAGTTACAAAATGATCCCTTAACTATAAGATGTTATGTTTAATCCTTCGACTAAAAGTTATAAAATGGTCACATGACAATTCATTATGTTTTAAACTCGTATTTTTCCGTTAAAAAATTAACGACAATCTAAGTTGAATGTTAATCTATTGTATGAGATGTGATAGTCATTTGAGATTCTAAGATCAGATTTATCATATCTCAGACATTAGATTATCATTCACCACATACTGTCATAAATTTTTAACCAAAAAAGACGAATTCGTAACACAATATATAGTCAGGAGATCATTTCATAATTTTTAATAGTCGAGGATTCAACAAAGCAATATCCTATAGTCAGAGGACCATTTTATAATTTTTTATAGTCGAAGGTCAATAAAACAATATCATATAATCGATGGATCATTTGTATATTTTATCAGAGTATTTCAGCGTTCGTTGTCAAATGATTGAGAATTTTTTAACAAATACTACCACATGCAAATACTCTAGATTAATCAAATTAATAATTTATAATTAAAGTTTGACTCAGCATTTAACATTTCTGTTATCTTCTCTTCAATCCTTAAAAATGGCTCGGATCAGTGTTATATATTTTACATTAATGTAAGCAGATATTGATACAAAACCTAGCTTGCATTTATGGCAAGAGAAAGATCTATTTGCTTGGGATTGGAGCAACATAATATTTTAACTTAATCCAATATTCACTCAGATTTTGAACAAGTTTATTCGTGGCAAACAGCATCAAAGTCTGATATATTTTTAAAATCTAAATCTTGGGTTCATATAATTTTTCAATATTTCCAATAAACATACTGCTACATTTCACATGGATGGCTTCAAATCTTTATTATTTGATTAAATATGGGAGGAAACTCCAACCAGAATTATCTCTATTAATCAATGATGAACAATCCAAGATTCATAATCATTCTTTATTGAATATATCAGAAGTTTAGTATCCCAACTATCACTTTTGTTTTATTTTAGTCACATGATTTTGTTTCAAAATCATACATATTTTACATTTTGATTTTATTTTATTTTGGTCATTCATTGTTAAAAATTAACAGAGCTGCTGACATGGTTTTTTTATTATTTTTTTCAATAATGACATGATATTATTTTATGCTGATATGTTAGCATCACCATTAAAATTTTAACAACGAGTGATCAAAATAAAATTAAAATTAAATATTAAGTATATTTTTTTAAAAATATATATATAGATGACCAAAACAGAATAAAAGTAAAAATTAAGATATTAAACTTATACTTTACAGTTACACTTCATTATTTACAAATCAAAGAAAAAAATTCATGGATTGTGTTTGTTTCCGACCAAGGATCTCCGTTGATCCGTATGACCAAACCTTACAACATAGAAAACGATCCTGGTTTTTTTTTTTTTTTAAAAAATGTCCCTTGATCCCCTTTTCTCCGTTAAGAAAACAAAACAAATATTATTCTGCAAACCTGTCTGTCTGTTCATGACAGATTCTGTGGTGTCAGACTGGATATTGCCAGCAAAAGCTCAATGAGATAAAATCGAAAATAACCCCGAAAAAGATTGTCAAATATTTGTGATCTCTTGATTTGAAACGTACAATTTAATATACGATTAAGAAAATATATTATTAATTTTTTATTATTTTTTAATAAAATTGATAAAAAGTTATTAAAATTATTATTATTTTTATTAATTTTATTATCATTATATATTTTACCGATTTTATTAATATATCTAATAAAATACTATTAATTTTATTATTTTTTTTATCGATTTTATTATTATTATATTGGATTTTTATTATTTATTTCCACAAAGAAAATTCCACTCCCTCCCTCCAAACACTTTTTTTCTTCTCTTTTTTGCAACTTTCTGCTTGCCCTATTTTTTCAGTCATTTATAGGCTATTATTCAACATGGGCGGAGGTGCCGGTGGCTGTGGAGATGACTCCTCCGATGATATGTCGGTGGAGCTTGGAGATGAACCCCATGTTTTAGCTGTGGATGATAACCTTATTGACAGAAAGCTGGTGGAGAAATTACTCAAGAACTCCTCCTGCAAAGGTACATTTGTTTTTAAATCCTTCCTTTTTTGTACCATCTTTCAGAAATAATAATCTTGTACACATATTATTTTAAGTTAATATCGTTTTGGTTATTTTCGCTTATAAATTTCTCATATATTTTCATGTGCATTACTGCAGTAACTACAGCAGAAAATGCCCTGAGGGTTTTGAATTATCTGGGACTGGGAAACGAGACACTGGAAGGCACTGTAAGTTTACAAAACAATTCATTTTCGAAATTTATAAAGACACGAACACGAATACGAAACGAAAAACGAAAACTCTTATTTTTTTTTTAAACAGGTCTCCAAGGTGAACCTAATCATAACAGATTACTGCATGCCAGGAATGACAGGGTATGAACTGCTCAAGAAAATTAAGGTAAAATATCACAGTACCCTTTGTTCTGTCTCATGCTTTAATGGTCACAATTTTTAGTTAAAACCAGGAATCATCTCTTCTCAAGGAAGTTCCAGTCGTGATCATGTCGTTCGAGAACATTCCCACTCGTATCAGTCAGTAAGTTCCGATTCAACAACCATAAGTTGGATTACTCGAATTCGGGTCGAAATGTTTGAAGTTGATTTTTATGTAACAGGTGCTTGGAGGAAGGTGCAAAGATGTTCATGCTGAAGCCTTCGAAACAGTCAGATGTGGTGCAGTTGAAATGGCATCTCATGAAATGAAATGAAATGAAATGCAAGGATTAGGGAATCAAAGAAGATGTCATTAATGCAAAATTTTACCTTTTTCACACCTACATTTTGAATGGGACAGACCAATCTACAAAGCTTATATTATATCAGTTTTTGTTTTAATCTAACGTTCTTAATATTTATATATCAATGTTAATAGATCTCATATTAGTCATTCTCTTGTTAATTGGAATTATGGATAGTTTAAACATCTTCCATAAATTTTATTTCCATAAATAATCTTTTCATAATGTTAATTTTATAAATAATCGTTATATGTATGTAATAATATAAGTATAATAATAATTACTATAAAAATTTTAAGGGTCATTTCTGTCCTTCTAGTAAGCTCAATTTATCATTTTCGCTCTTATTATATTTTCACATTAATTTAACACTCAAAGTTATTTAATTATATCATCCTATACCCTATCCCTAATATAATCCATAAATTTTAAACCTTAAACCCTAATCCATAACCCCTAGCCTCTAAACCTGACTTGAAACCTTAAATAATAGTAAATATTTTAAACATCGATATAATTGAGCAACTTCGAGGTTAAGCTGACGATAGGGGCAAAAAATGATAAATCGGGTCTACTACAAGAACAAAAGTTATCCTTTTACCAATATAAAATAATCGTAAAATAATAAACATAAAAATTTAACGTGAAAAAATCATTTCAGAAAAATCTCTGGTATAAGTGGAAAAAATTCATTATACCGAAAAAATTACTAGAAGATTTATGTCTAAATGTGGTTTAGAGTTTAGTCAACTGGCAAAGAAAAAAATAGAGTTTTATTGGACCATACGAGATTCTAAAGAGAGTTGGACCAGTAGCTTATCAGTTGGCGTTACCTCCAGAGAGAGATAAGATTCATAATATATTTTATGTTTCGATGTTTTGAAAGTATCGATCAGATCCTTCACACGTAATTACACGGGAAGAAATTGAGATTCAGCCGGATTTATCATACAAAGAGGAGCCAGTAAAGATTCTAGCACATGGGTTAGTCGATCCTAAGAGACGAGGGAAGCCCGTGAGAGGGAAGCCAGATATGGTCATTATGAGTTTGTTGTGATGTTGTTTGGATTGACCAATGCTTCAGTAACATTTATGGATTTGATGAATCGAGTATTTCAATCGTATTTAGATCAATCTGTGGTTGTGTTCATTGATGATATTTTGGTGTATTCTAAGACTAAGGAGAAGCATAACACACATCTCCATATCATACTACAGATGTTGCGAGATAAAAGTTATATGTTAAATTGTCAAAATGTGAATTTTGGTTGTTAGAGGTTGATTTTCTGAGCCACGTGATTTCAACAGAAGGAATTAAAATAGATCCCAAGAAAGTGCAAGCGATAGCGGAGTGGAAACCTCCACAAAATGTTTCGGAAGTCCAAAGTTTCTTGGGGTTAGCTGGATATTATTAGAGATTTGTGAAGAATTTTTCGTTAATTGCATCTCCACTAACTAAGTTACTTCGAAAGGATGTACCATTTGTCTGGACCGAAAAACGTCAAGAAAGCTTAGATATGCTCAAAAAGATTATGACAGAGGCCCCAATGTTAGTGCAACCAGAGTCATGAAAAGATTATGTAATCTACAATGATGCGTCTCGTAATGGTTTGGGATGTGTTCTAATGCTAGAAGGTAAAGTGGTAGCCTATGCTTAAAGGCAGTTAAAGCCACATGAACGGAATTATCCGACAGATGATTTGGAGCTAGCAGCTATAGTGTTTGCTCTGAAGATATGACTCCACTATTTATATGGTGAGCGATGCTACATTTATACAGATCATAAGAGTTTAAAATATTTGCTCACTCAGAAAGAGTTAAATCTAAGGCAAATGAGATAGATTAAACTTCTCAAAGACTATGATGTGATTATTGATTATCATCCTGGGAAGGCTAATGTGATAGTTGACGCACTAAGCCGAAAAACCTTTGTTGTTATGAGAGCGTTAGATGCACGACTATCAATAGACGAAAATGATGCATTGAATGCAGAATTGAGATTGAAACTTGCCCTAGTAGATCGAATCAAGGATGTTCATAATAAAGATAAGAATTGTCTAGATAGAATGGAGCAAGCAAAGAAAGGAGAAATGACAGATTTTGAACTTAAATCTTATGGATGTTTGTATTATCGCAATCGAATTTGCATACCAGATGACGAAAAACTGGATAAATATATTCTTTCTGAAGCTCATTATAATCCTTTGATTATGCATCCAAGAGGAAATAAAATGTATCAAGATTTAAAGATTCAGTAATTGTGGGCAGGTATGAAAAGAGTTATCACTGAGTTTGTTTCTAAATGTCTAACCTCTCAGCAGGTAAAAGCAGAACACCAAGTGCCTTCGGGGTTGTTGCAACCTATCTCCATTCCTCAATGGAAATAGGAACGAGTTACCATGGATTTCGTAACAGGTTTACCTTTGACACCCAGTAGAAAATATTCGATCTGGGTGATAGTGGATAGATTGACAAAGACATCACACTTTATCCCAGTTCGAGAAGATTATTCCATGAAAAAGTATGCTGAGTTATATGTCAGAGAAATTATAGGAATTCATGGAGTACCCATTTCGATAGTTTCAGACAGAGATCCGAGATTCACTTCGAGATTTTGGAAGTCTTCGCATGAGGCATTGGGAACTCGATTAAGTTTCAGCACAACTTATCATCCTCAGACAAATGGTCAGTCTGAGCGAACTATTCAAATACTTGAAGATATACTAAGGGCGTGTGTTATTGATTTCAAAGGATCATGGGAAAAATATTTGTCTTTAGCAGAATTTGCTTATAATAACAGTTATCAATCAAGTATCAAAATGGCTCCTTTTGAAGCATTATATGGAAGAAAATGTCTAACACCACTGAATTGGTATAAATTGAAAGATCGAGATGTAATTGGTCCAGATCTGATTAAAGAGGTGAAAGACAATGTGAAGGTGATCCAAGATAATCTCAAGATAGTTGCTGATATACAGAAATCTTATGTTGTTTTAAAAAGAAAAGAGATTGAATATCAAGTAGGTGATAAGGTATTTCTTAAAGTGTCACCTTGAAAAACGATTATGAGTTTTGGAAGAAAATAAAAATTGAGTCCAAGATTTATTGGACCATACGAGATTGTAAAGAGAGTTGGACCAGTAGCTTATCAGTTGGCGTTACCTCTAGAGATATATAAGATTCATAATATATTTCATGTTTCGATGTTTCGAAACTATCGATAAGATCCTTCACACGTAATTACAACTGAAGAAATTGAGATTCAGCCGGATTTATCATACAAAGAGGAGCCAGTAAAGATTCTAGCACATGGGGTTAGTCGATTTTAAGAGACGGGGGAAGCCCGTGAGGGAAAATCTTCCATGTGAACGACACTTGCACATGGATTCAAAGAACTAAGAAATAAGACGATACCACTGGTAAAGGTTCTTTGGCGGAACCATAAAGTTGAGGAAGTATATTGGGAACGAGAATAAGACATGAATAAAAAGTTTCCTTATTTGTTTAATGCAGTTATATAAATACTATGGAAAATTCGAGGACGAATTTTATTTAAGGGGGGAGGAATTGTAATATCCCAAATTTTAACCAGTGACTAAAATGTAAGTTTTGAAAGTTTAATGACTAAAGTATAAATTTTGAAAAGTTTAGGAACTGAAATTGTAATTTTTTAAAAATTATATTTTTAGCCTGTAAATGAATAGTTTGAATTAAAACAGAGATTTTAGTGGGAATCAGATTTTTTTTAGAACGGGATTTGTGTTAAAAGCTATAAAGCGGTAAAGTTCGGTTTTGAAATCAGATAATCAAATCGAACCGAAATTTTACAAAAATTTGAAAGATGTTAGAAAATGGTTGAAATATTATTTTCATATTTCATATCAGAGAAAATTGGCTCAGAACAGTGCAATTTTACATATTTGACCGAACAGTAGAATTATAGTGACTAAAATGCAATTTTTGAAAATTGAATAGCCAAATTCAAAAATTCAAAGCCAAGTTGATTCATATTTGACCAAAGAATATTTAATGGATGATATGACAATGACATTTGGTAATTTAAAGATTTATTAAGGGTAATTTTGGTATTTGGCCCAAAAGGAATAAAACAAATCATTTAATTAGTTTTAAAGGCTAATAATTGGAGATTTTTTTTATGAGAATTATCGTGAACTCTTATCTCCTCCAGAAAGCTGCTGAAACCCATAGCCAAGGTGAGAAGCTTTGTTTTTTAATTTTTGGTCTATTTTTACTAGAATTTTAAGTTAGATTATTAAGGATAAAATAACCTACATGAAATTCTCTTTCATTTAGTAGAAAAATCTTCATGTTTCATGCTCAAGTTGGTAAGATATTGATTAAGGGGAAGTGTGATTTTTATGATTAAAGATTGATTCTTGATATTAGAAGTATTGTAAGAATTTATGAAGAACATAAGGATGCAAATGAGTGAAAACAGTTTAGATTTTCAAATCTGGCAGGGAGTTTGAAAATTTATCAGAAATTCTATAAAATTATTTGGAGGTGATTTTTATATATTGTGTTTGTATATCAATCTAGTTTTGTTTAAAATAAACGGGGATCAATTTCAAAGTGTATACAAAAAGATATGAATTTTTAACCGAGGAAATGTTAGAAAAACGGGTAGCAGATTCTGCACAAAGCAGATTATGTCGGTCAACTTTGAAAATTCACCATAAATTGTAAAGAATGAATTATAAGGAGTTCTTTATATGGATAGATTCGTATTTGAGTATAGTTTTCAAAGGAAAAAATGAAATTAAATTCCAGTGTGTGAATCAATACAGAATACTGATTCTTTAAAGGTAGTGCAAGTTGTCTGAATATGGAAATTTTAGAATTTAAGTCGAAAATGATTAGAAGATGAAGAGTAATGTTTAAATGTTTGAGTATATTTTTGGATGCTTTTAATTGAAGTTAAATGGCAAGAGACAATTTTGAATA